TTCCTCGCTGGCATTCAGCTTATACCCCTCCATGTAATATTCCCTGAGAAAAGTTCCATGCCTACATGAGCAGAAATCCCGAATTACATCACATACGACAAAGATCGACAAGACTGCAACCGAGCCGGGCAACTCCAACAGCAAACAGGAGTGGGACGGTTACACCCTTGAAAATTCCACCGGCCATAAACTACTGCGCCGACTATACCATATTATGATTCATGCTTATCTTCAAGTAATAAATAATTATTTTCATTACGATATGCTGTTTTGAAGACATTTCGATAAAGATTTTTCTCCCCTCCTGATACTTGCATTTTCTTGTCATTCTTGACGGCAAGTGCAAGTGCAACTGAATTATTCTTCTCAGTAGTAGAAGTTCCTTGTCATTATCCTTGACCTGTGTGCCTACCGTGTTCCACGCTTCCTCATTTTCCATCTGACTACAATTACAGTGCACACTGACCGCTGACAACGAAAGCGACTGATAACGGATTAGACCTATCCGCTCTTGTTTGCGTTAGACTCATCCTAATTATCTTTCAGTTTGTAATTTGTGTGCAATGAATTTGATGTTATCTGAAACTGTTTATATAAAATCTTATGCTTCTTATTATTTCTTAATTTGACTCAACAGTGCAAATCCTCCCTTCCATTCACAGATACAGGCAAAACCGGCTATCGTCACAAGATGAATGACCTCTCCTGGCACAGGAAATAAATGATAACGATGACGTAATGACGATGAAGAGGAAATAAATTGATGGAGTGTCTGTCCATCGTTAGAAAAATGCCATCTCTTATTTGCCTTAGAAGTTGAGTAAAACTGAGGAAAGATCCTACCTATTAAGATTCGAAATAGGTATCTTACATGTGTAAAGGCAAAGACAAAACTTGCCCGAGAAATGTCACATCTCTGTTCTCTGGTTGTGTTACAACGTAAATAACACAAACTCCATTCTCAGTCACACTGGATAAACCTCAATAAAAAAAAACATCGTTTATTACAGAATCGTACTGATGATTCAGTGAAAATGTTTTTTATCATCTCACCTTAAAATAGTAGAAACGTGACATTCCTTCACGTTCGTAAGGCGGACCCAGCACAGAAAAGTCGCTCGTCAGGTCGTAGACCTACACACAACTACTGTTTGATTTTTGCTAACCTCAACAGTACATTTTATGTGAGATTTGAAGTTCTCGTGGCAGTGAGTACAAAGATGGCCATCTTCTGGGTTGTCGCGCCGTGTAGTCTCGTAAAAGTTTACCAACGTTTCAATGATCCATCATCAGGGCGGTCACCAGAAGACAGCCATCTTAGTACATTTTATGTCGGCCCTGGGTATAGCGTCCCTTATCTGTAGTGTGGGTGGAGAGAGTAAATCAGTAAAACCTGGGAGGTTTCAGTTTCTTCGTGTACGCTTGCAAGCCAATCTTTACGTCAGAAAGCATTTAAACCCGGAAGAAACTGGAAAAATTGTACAGGCCTATTTCCATGTGTCAAAGGACTACGAAACTGATACAGCTACCAAAGAGGGGTATGTTAGGAGTGAGGAGACAAGAAACGCATATAGTAGTTTAGTAAGGAAACCTGAACACCGGTTAAAAAAATCCTTCACAAAATCTGTCAACTCACTTCAGATTATTTACCAAACAAAAGTAAACACATGCATTATTCTTATATGACTATCCAAAATGCATATAGTCCTCAGTTTCTAAACGAAATGCGATAGAATAATAGAATAATTGCTTACTCTCACATTATATTTACGAAATATACAAACGCTGAGATTAACAGGGCTATTCTGCACGGAGTAACTCAGCTTAAGACATTTTAAACTCCAGTGACGTAGAGGGAGGATGAAGAAATCGCGAAAAGCTTCAGTCACAGACAATGCATCAGGCCTTGAAAATTGAACCTGTGATAGTTCAAAGAAAAGGAAATGCTACTAATTGCTCTTGCTGCTACTACTAGTACCACCATTACTACTACTGCTGCTGCTAAGCCACAGGGTTCGTCTTACATACATACATGTCGGTTTCTTACTTAGTGATATCGTCAATACAGCTGCAAAAGCAAACCATTTGCCCCAAAACATGGTTGTAATGGCTCTAACTTACTTTTCGAGTTCATCTCCCAGCATCTGCGACCTGTCATTCGGAAGGGTATCATAAAGATCTTCCACCTCCAGGTCTTTACCACGTCCCTTACGGAACAAGTCCTTTATCCACCTGAAATAAAAATATTTCCCAGTCCTTACTAGAAACTTACATTGCATTACTTTCTCCAGTCGACCAGTAGCACTGAATTACAAAATTGCAATCATCATATTTTAAGAACGGAATTATAACTTTCATCCATTTATAAACAACGTTTTAAAACGGACGGGACTATTTCGAAACACCCGGTCTTAACTGACCTTCCAGAGTATATTTTAGTTCCAGTTACCATGTTACACGCGGCTGTAAACAGAGCATCAAGCATTTTTATCGGAGATGCTGTGAAGAAACGGCAAAGAATTACACAGAAAAAACAAAATGATATAGTGTTGTAATATTTTTTGTTAAATAAAGCTTTACAGAAAAAATCAAAGGCGAAAACTTACCGCAGAATCTCACACAGCACTGATTTTCTGCGAGATGACGACAACCAGAAATCTTAGGGAATTTAAATTTTTAAAACATTGCTGATAAAGATTCAAAAGAATTTCATACAGATCCTACCCCATATCAGCCGTGCAATACTGACTGATAAGAAAATGTCAATCATAACTTTCGGGTTTGATGTAGGCCTTACAGCAATGTTATTGCCAGTCTCTCTCTTTTGCTCAAGAAAATCGCCAATGGGTGATAGAAACTTATGTGTGTTCGGGATTGATTGATGCTGAGCGTTTAGTGAAATTGACTCGCACAGATGATTGCCATATTTATTACCATCAAAGCGTTAATAAAGACCAATGAATATGACAACAACATATGCCACGTCGTCACTCAGACTGGTGATTCAGAAGCAGATGAACGCCGCACTCACCAGAAAACAAGAATGGAGACCACATTCGCTGTAGCTCGAGGATTGACACCCGTGAGTTTCTTGCTCGAATCCATCGTAGTGTTTTGCTGCGAGGTCTCCTACATCGGTACTCCGCAGAAACTTTCTGTGGACATGTTTACACACGGTTTACAGTGACGTTAGACCATGCGATGAGACAATTCAAACACGCATCCCGCTACAAGAAAGGCGTTTTACTCATCAAAAACCATGCACGATGACATATGGGAACAGAATAAATGGAGAATTGCGGCTTAGTTCATGCACCAGCCACTTTAAACCTGGAAAAGAGTTCCCGCTGCGCTTTGGATAAGAAACTGGATGGTCCCAATTATCGCATTACGTGAACTACCGTTACAGGTGAGGACATGCAACTGAATGAAAAATATCACAGCACACCAGCTGAGAACCACTGACTTAGTAACATGGTCTGATTGGACAGCGTTCACAATGTGAAATAACACAAAATCATTTTTATTTATTTATGTCTTAGAATATTCCTCTAAAGGAACAAGAAAAAGTTTTTACTTTGGTAGTATCAAAGAAATTTTAACCACATTCAGTAAGCCTCAAAGAAACCCTTTTGAATTTTCCTAGTTTCTAACCCAAATCCATTAAACCTGTTAAATAAGAAGGCGGTAGTCTGAGCTGTGACTGAGAGAGTCACAGCTCAGGCTACCAGGTTCAAAAGTTCTCGCCATTTTATGCTTCCCGGAGCAAAACGAATTTCAATCGGCCAAGTCATCATTAATGCGCATTTATTGACACGGCGTTAGATCAAGGATAGAAGCTAAGTCGGCCAAACAGCGATGACAGTTCAATTGAAACATTATATTTAATGCAGTCATATATATAAATATATATATATATA